TGAGTATCTCCGTTATTCCTTTACGAAGCGCACTACACTTCTCCTCCATCACCTAAAGCATGAGTAAAGCTTACAAAGTAGCAAATCGTATAGCGGGAAATCGTCAAAACCTTGTTCCACCTAGACAAATTACCTTGCAAGCTTCTACCACTAGCTCCGCAGATCTAAGCGCACCTGTAGATTCGACGCTAACTAAACACATCGTTTAGATCCTTACTCTGTAATGAACGAACTGAAAGCATTACATATAAAGTGAGTTTTCTTCCTTCCGAGTTGCACAAGCGGAGCCAAGTCGTCATGTCTAAATACGTTTCGACTGCAAGTATCCCTCCTGGCGTCCGCAACAACTGCGACTTTTTCTCCTAAACGTTGACCTCTCTCAAAAGCAAATGAAAATTAGAAAAAGAAAAAAGCAAAGGAATTCATAACTCACCATCTCGTTCTACTAGCTCGATCACACCTTCACTAAAGGATTCCTTCAGTCGCTCTGCGGCTTCTCCACGAATCTCGCCCAGAAGGCGAATCGTGGGCAACAACCTGCAAAACCTAGTTTTTGATACAAATAATAGATAAGGTGATAGTCAAAAGTTGTAAAAACTTAACATAAGCTCGATGCTGAGCCACAAACTTACTGAAAAAAAAGAACGAAAGAGCCAGATCGAACTAACCTATATGATGCGGTGGCTACGGGACTGAATTTGGCGTGGTCCCGTCCAATTCCTTTCACAGCATGGCAGTTTGCTTCAATCTGTTGACCAGGTCTAAGCTTCGCAACCAAAATATCATCAAAGACTATCCTAGGGGGATCGCCCTTGAACTGTTCCTCCTAGACGAGTAACGACGAGATTAACAATTCTTCCAATAATCTTGCATCATCCCATACTTGATCACCACATGGAATCCATTTGAATGATCGAGAGTAGACCGAAGATTGATGATATAATTGCTGCGGTTCTGTTGCTGTGGAGGGAGCATTGCGATTCCGTGTACACGTCACCTGAGAAAAAAATATTACACAATTTTACAAGTGGAGCGTTGGAAGTGCGGCACTGCAAACTGGAAAATCTCCGCATCCTTTCCGAAGGTATCTAGAAGGGCCCACGCCATACGCTTAAAGGCACTGTCCACCCAAAACTAGAGTGGGGAAAATCAATGTAGTACAATGATCGGGATTCAAAACAAGAAAATCCCTTCAGAAGCTGTCGAGCTGCCCGTCCGGCTTACCAAGATCTTGGTTTAAAGGTAAACTAAGCTTAAGAGCAAATGGAATGTCCTAAGCGCACATTTATGAGCGGTAAGGTTGGCAGAACTTCTGAAGCGATATTCACGCTTTAGAATGTGAATTGTGCAGCAAAACTAGGCAACTACTTGATTAGGGGCTTCGCCATTGTAGTGCATCAACATTTCTTTCGCCCACTTCCGGGTAAATGTGCCTTGAAAGTGGTTTGAGCCTTTGATATAGCAGATTTTGGGAACAAAAGAAAAATCAAATTAGGTACCATGCAGCAATTGAAGAGAAATGAGCAATTACCATGTCTGATACATACATTGATGTTAAATACAAGGTTCCGGGTAGGATCAGGTTGCGGCTCTTCATCACAGTCAACTCCATGCTCGTTTATGCCTATTACCTGCAAAA